AAACGAATTATTAAATTAAATGTAACACCATGGTTTGGTAGGGTACTAATATAATAATAACTACCCAGGACAATAGTAATAATAAAAAACTCACAGCGCTATCTAGAACCGATCTAAGTGAAGCTTGTGTTGTGTTTACTAGACCACTGATATAAATATTTAGATACATTACTTTTCATAACGATTGCACTTAAAATAATTTGTGACAATACGCGGAATCAAAATGATTAAATTTCTGTTCATTTTTTACAACTTTGCTAAATAAAAAAGGCAATATTTGAGGTGCGTAATTTTTATTAATATATTTGCTAAATTGCCAAACTATTAGCATTCATAGGTTTTGAATGTTCTATTCTACCAATGCCTTTTTTCTTTTATTGTTGATAAAGTTGACATTAGAATGGTCATTACGATTGTAAATATTGCTTCGCGTAAAAGTGATTACAAATCAAACTTTGATCAGGACAATGTGCAGAGATAGACAGTATTCGAGAAACTTTTTAAAGATTGTCGTAGGTCAGGGTAGACATTCATAGCAACTAAGAGTTGAGAAATAAACAAAATTATGTAATTTTGTTACAATTCTTTTTATTCGCAAATGTTTAACAAAACACCAGTTCGCGCTTTCCGAGAAAGAACCCAATTACAAAACAACAAATTAACTCTTTTATAATTCCACCTCACAGTCATTGCTTCCAATTTTTTCTTTTTACTATTACAAAGTTTTGTAGGAGTTTACGCAAAAGTTGTCCTACAAAAGTTTTGGGATGAATTTAAAGAATATTGACTCTTGTATGTCTTCCAGAAAGTTTGCCAATGTGCCGATTCGTTAGATAAATTGTCCGTTTAGAATTTGGAAACTTGGAACAATTATAGGGCATGATGAAATTCTACTTCACAAATAAGACAAACTTACTACTCGTACTTCTTACGCAAGAAGCGTTTGGTAAATACAAACAGACACAAAGGACGACGGGACAGTCCGCTTGCTTGAGCAGCAAAGGGCATATGCTCAGTAATTTATATACACCTATTGATCAAAAGGTGGTATCCTTTGGGAAGCATCGGAGCGTCCTACATCGGCGAGCCCAACAAATTGTCTATTAAGTAGGGGTGATAAAATCTTCCTCGTGAGTATCAGATCTTCAATCGGTGATAGGGTTCCGATAGCTACGTTATTGGCTGCGGTTAGCTCTAAGAACCCTTTACGAATTATTTAGGCTCAGACATACGGGGGTGTGTTGGTAATTTAATATGATTTGAATTGGGAATGTGTAGCGGTGCAGTAATGTCCATTGCGATTTATTAATTTATTCTCATGTAAGTTTTACTTACAGAGACTTACCTACCCACGTCTCTGGGCAAGCACGGTGTATCACAGAAAAAAATGGTATGTTAGGCGAAAACCTTAATTACATATTTTATAATTCTTTGGTAGTTTAGGCATAAAATACTTGATACAACCGTCATATAGTGTTATATACTTATTACACAGCACTTCTATCTCTCACAAAAACTTCAGCAACGACCGAGACAAATTTATTTGGCCAACTTTTTTTACCCACAGCTGTTTATAAACACAATATGCTACTTGAAGCGAATTACAAGTTTCAAAGGGGCGGATTAGCCGCCAACAATCAGAACGGGTAGACGCCGTTTTCCGCCGTTGCTTATTCATAAAACCTGGCTCCTTACAATACGCTCAAGATGTTTTAAAAACGGGAGCTGCTTCAAGCCTCGTTAACGTAGTTAGGTTTTGAGTTTTTGATGTCAATGAAAAATGGAAACTGTATGTAATCGTACATCATTCAGAGATGTATGTTGTAAAATACATTCACGTATTTCATGCATTAGATATACAAATATGTGCATAAAAAAATAGATACGTATATTTGGGTTAATTGAAATGGCAAACAAGCTGACGATCCGCTTGATGGAAAATGACAATCGTTGAACAGCACTAAGAGCTTCATATCGTCATATAACACCTGTGATATTCCTACCTACCCTTGAGGATTAAGGTGTCATTTCTCCGTACCCAATAATTTCACTGTCATATCTCATCGTTTAAACTGAAATGCAGTTTATAAAGCAGTTTTCTTAACGGCAGATAGATAAGACTGAATACCATGCAGACTTTGAAAACTTCTTTGTAGGTATACTACAGGTTAAGTACATTGAGAATATCTTATATTCCTATTAAAATTGGGTTTATTCTTTGGTTATTTATTATCAGTAGGCTGCTTCAAACTTACTAATTACGCCCTACTACACCTACCTCTGAAGACGAACATTTTTTATGATATACGCGCGTCAGTCAACGATCAAGTCAAATGACGACGAATGACTGGAATTATAATGGTACTATATATACTATGTTACAGTAATTGACGACACGCCACTCTGTAAGCTATAAAGCCGGCGTGAACCCAAACTGAGAGCGTTGTAAATTTGATGGCGGCCCTATATTCATTTGATTCATGGAGCCGCCAACGGCCGAGCTGTTTGTTTTGATTCGTTTTTATTTGATAGTTTACTGTACCACCTCACCTCACCTATATGATTTGAAGGTTGGGAAATCGCTGTGGATTCTTAATATTCGGCGGATGAATGCATGTTTTTAGTAAAAGAAGATGCATCTTATTTAACATTTTTAAGCCCTGAAAACCCGAAAAGTTTATAGGTATAATACCTTCGTCTTTTAGCAAGCAACATCCCCATTTATTGGAAATTTAATTTTCGTATTGATTTGTAAATACAACATAGGTAGTTGTGACATGCGTTTGATTCCCTTTACCGAAAAAGACTTACATAATAATAAAAGAACTAATATTTTTATTAAGATCAAAACATGAGTTTGCATCGATTGATACAGAATAAATTTCAAATGTAGGTATTTATATAAAATATAATGTTTTAAAATATAAATAAGTGAAAATAATCAGAAATAATTATTATTAAGTCACATACATAAGCATTGACATTATGTATGTCATTAGAGAATTATTATAATATAGATATGGAAAGTAGTAACCTTTGACACAATTAATTGATGATATTTCAAAAGATACGAAAACTTTAACATGAATGATGATTGTTTAATCGATTAAGAGATAAATTTTCAATCATATTTAATAAAATATGATAGAAACAGACATTGGATCATTCAAAATCGAAATACAAAATTAATCGATGTTAACCACAGATCATATCTGTATGAAAAATAGTTGGCCATTCAAAATTCGGCATGTCGGTTAGAATGGCGCGGAACAAAAAACAAAACAAATAAAAAGTGGCTATCTACGTTTACATCTATCTACCTGTTACTATGTCAAACATACATGATGATACCGTTTGTGTCTATAGTCGAAAAAAGCTTTTAGTGGCCTATTTGGTTTAGAGTTTTAGACCTAATGACACTTGAGCATATGAAAATACTTATAGTACACACAGTGTTAAGGCCAGCAATAGACCGCGTTAAATCGTATTATTTCTCAATTAACACAATAACTGCATGAGCTTTGAAATATAAAAAAGAAACATGAAAATCGGTTTGGAGGTAACAAACAAAAAACGTACCACCATTTTTTGAAGACGCTTGAATTTTGAATGAAATAACAGAATAAAGCATTTAGAAATAAAAACTTGCAGTATGACTATTTCTTATCGGTTACGTATTTGTTATAAAAATTGGGATAGTCATAATGATATGAAATACTTTTATTCCTATTATTATTTTAGCCTAAAATGTTATATATAAATAAATTATGGATTCCAAATATCTTAAATGAAAAACTAAGTGTTCATATTCTTGAAATATAACCAAAAATAAAGAAGTGTTTAATTAATTCCAAACTCTATCTCGCTACACGCCCTATCAAAAGTCAGCTGTTGTCAAAATTCTACGCATACCTCGTGGCGAGCGTCGTTATTTCAATTACCCATGTCCCTCGTCAAAGACAAAAGACCCTGACACGAAAAAAAAAGGAAAAAAACAAACAAACGCTCACCGAGCGAATTAAAAAAACAATCGTCTTATCTATGATTGGATCGCGGTCGTGTAAACGCACTCAAGTGTATTATGTTACCTTCAAGCAGCGGCTTTCAGTTTCGGTAGCATTTTTGACAATTAAACTGGTAAATACCAGTTGATTTTGCAAAAAAAATCTTAGAATGGAGAAACTCATATGTCTTGGAACATTAAAATCATTGAAAAGAAACGTGAAAATGTTTCATGTACCTAAGTTTCAGAAATTTAATTTATAATAGATTCATTCTAAATGAAACATTTTTTTCTTTAATAAATAATATAGAAGAATTAAACTAAATATTAATTTTGACTTTATTCACTTTTTTTATATCAAAGATAGCCCATGTCCATTCTCATGTTACAATAGTATTATTATATCATTTCTTAAAGTTCTGTTCAGTCGTTCATTATGAATACATAAAAAAGACAGACATACAGATAATTTTATTCGAAATTATAATATTAGTAGAATATTAGTATTCTTTAACAGAATTTCTAAAAATCGAGTAGTTTGTGGTGTGTCAGATACAGAAGCGTCTCAGCTGTAGATAATTCACCGCCAACAACTATTGTTGAAAGCATAATATCACGATTATCTATTGAGAATTACTAAACACCGTCAGATGATGGGCACCCAAAGTAAATAGCCGTAATAACCGTGGCGGGCACAATGCCCCCCCGTTGATCGACGACAGGGGTCCTGGTCGTGATCCTCTTTTTAATTATAATATCACCCACATTATAAAGTTTTTGTTATCAACAAAAAAGAACCGGGTTTTTTCGGCGGACTGCTACTTTTGGGTTATTTTCTTGCTTAACAATGTTTTGGCATTGTAATTTTGTATTCCTACTATTTGTTTATACGTATAATATGATATGTTTTGAAAATGAACTCTTATTTAAGTTAGTATTAATAAATAACATAGTAAAGACTAATAATACAGTCGCTACAAATAAAGTCGGTACTCACGAATCCGTGTTTGTCGCTGATGTTGTTCGTCAGTTTTAGTTTGTGGAAGGAGACCACTTTCTGCATCCATTGCTCCCCCGTTGAAGGTGAGTCCGGGTGTATATACATCCTTTTCGGCATTTCCGGATCCGCTTTTCCGGCAACCATCCATCGGCTCCGGAAACAAAAGATACGGATTACCTTACTTGGAAAGAGAGTTTATTTCATCCTAGATAGCGGTTGCTGCCTAAAGCAGAGTTTTATTGATGTCATTATGATAAAATCAAATGTTTATATTTTTAAATAGGAGTTCACAAGAAATAAATTTAAATGGGTGCCTGGTATAATTATCTAATCAATTATGGTAATTAAGGCGGAACATCTGTTTTTAAATAAATATTCAATTTAAGAAATTTGTAGCTAAAGCGTTCATATGTATTTTAGAGTATCAATTTATTGGTAGAGCATGCACTAATCTAGTGTATGTATGATTTGACTGATAAAAAAGCTCATGCTGTCAATAAACAATGCTATGCAAGCAATTTAACAAATAATGCAATAACTCAATGCCACCGAAAATTAACATGAACGAAAAGAGATCTGCGTCCAGTCGAATAAAAAAAATAGATAATATGTTTTGCATTTATAATCTAGAAACGACGTGACTAAACACTCCAAAACAATAAAATTAGTAATTATATCAGCAATTAAATTAGAGAAAAAAGTAGTGGTTTCGACAACAAACAAGATAATGTATGAATTTTGGGAAACTAACACTAGCACGACACGGCGTCAAGCACAGCGTAATAATATGTGATTGATTGTGCAAAATACGCAGATCCCTATCTGTTCTATATCAATATGTAAACAATACGCATGCTTCTTGCCTCTTTATTTCCTTTTTCAGTATCACGAATTACATTAAAATAAGATAAACTGACGATAGTACCTCGCTAACCCTTCAAGTTAAACTACTAAAACTTTCTTATTTTAATTTAATTCCTTCATTTCTTTATTTATACCTGTTGTGGAATTTGTATCTGCAATCGTCGGCAGCTACGATGTCCATTAGCAAAATGTACTTTGCTTTTTTATCAAGACCAGAAACGCGAACTTTGTAGGCAGGAAACATACGTCTGCAAGCAATACGAGAGAAAAACATGGGTTGGGACTCGTTCTTTGCGACAACGATTTGACATCACGTCGATTGTAAGACATGCTGTTGGACTAGTTTCACTTTTTACATCCATTTGCTCCCGAGAAGCGATCCTTTTAGCTTGTGATCTTGTACCGCGTTAATTAGTACTTTTTTGTGTGCGTTATTGGTCTCAAATATCCAGACTACCGATGTCCAGTTGCGACAGAAAATGGAACATCATTTGACATTTTTCGACCTACCTCGATAACATTTGGTGTATTCACCTAAATCTGTTTTAATCGGAGCACAACAACCGAATGAGGTGTTACAAAGTATTCTTGATGAACAAAAAGACTATGTTTCCGCCAAAGACCGACCAAAAATGGTATGGCAGCCATTGTGCGGTTTCGCTTAGATGTGCAACATCGAATCTGCGGCACGTGATCAAATGTGGCACGACATTAAAACTTAACACGGCCCCGGTGTGCGGAGAACTTGGAAAAACGATCAAGTCCGCAAACAGCTTATAAATCGGAGAAATTATATGTCAAACATTTGTAAATTAATTACCATATTAACGGCGCTAGCCAGCCTGCCTTTGTCGGTATTTATCGTTTACTGCTGAGTCACAGTCGTATTTTCGGTCGGAACACTCGGGTTATATTAATTAACGGTTATTAAATCGAAGTTTATCGGGCACATCTTGATGTTGCCAAACCTGCGCGTCGGCGGTTTTGATATTCGTTGATCGGGCGCACATAAAGCGGACGAACGTACCTTATCGATGCTTGTCATCGGGAATTAAACAATGTACACGATCAAATATGATGATTATCAGATTGTGATGCGCGTCTGAAGAATACTTCAGACACCCGGAAGATAACAATTAACGTTGACGAGATCAACGAAATTATTGTTAGTTCTAATTTTGTTAGATCCGGCGGAGAGCGCGCAGTATTTCTCACCTCTGTCGCGGTGACGGTCGGCTTTTTACAATACCACTGCGGTGTTTGAGACAAAGATATTTTAATGATATTACCCATTGGATGCGACTTGAATTCTTAATCGACAGATGATTCCAGTCGATACTGACTTGTCGTAAAATGTCGTTGACCCTAAATTAAGCGTTTCTTACAAATTGTTTAGACGTAATTAAGAATCGATGGTTTGTGATGGGAACTAGTGCATTGCGTGGGCAGAATCACAAGCTAAATGATGGAAGCGGGTAACGGGTTGTTTAAATGTGCTGTTTACAAACGACGTGGATGCCGGTGACGGGAGAGTCTGGCCCAAGCATGCCAGAGCGGTGTCGTGAGATGGTCGTAGCGTGAGATGACGGTTCAGCGTTGAGTGAGTGGGCTCTACCTGTTGTGAAACTTATAGCGGTAGTCGTCTGCTGCGACGATGTCCAGCAGCAGGATGTATTTGGCCTTTGCGTCCAAACCGGAGACGCGGAACTTCATTTGTGGGAACATTTGTCTGTAAATCGGAATTATCCGCTTACTAAAGTCACTTCTTTTTCTTATACTTCCGGTGATTTACTAATACATTAATTTCCTAAGTAATAACATCACATTTATTCAAAGCTCCAAAATTTGCTCGTTACCAAATCTTTTACTGCTTCATATGAGTAGAACACATGTATTTGAGTGTCTAACGAAGTAACTGCATCTGTTAATATATTCATCTCTGCCCTAGGAATATGTAAATAGGTATAATATTAGAAATTGTATCTTCGCAACATAGGTACTAACAGTACAGTGATAAAGTCTTTCACAAACGTTTCCATATGTGTTTATGTTAGTTTATTGCATCCAGATGCCTGCGTTTACTTGTGATTGTATAAGAACAAATCTGTATGCGTTGAGGTGTTTCAATTAGATAAATGAGTTCCTACGCATGTCTTGGTAATACAAATCCGTGTATTGTTGTGGGAATTGTACCCGGAACTACAATTACTACAATACAAATGCAGAAACAGTTATTCAATTGTTTAATAATGATATAGCCGAGTTCATAAACAAGTGAACGTGACAAAGTTTCAAATAGCCGACTAATATATTTCCAAAAAGCAACATTTGGATCAGGATAGTTTTCTATTTTTTTTAGACTTTATACAAAGAATATATCTATATCTTACTTACTTTAGCAGCTAAGCAACCTGCTTTATAATACATCTTTAGATTTAATGGTGAGACAAGATGACATCTGTGCACATGAGTGGTACCACGTATGTCACATTCAAGTAGACAGCTGGCGTGAAATTGCTATCAGCTTATTTGCCATTTCAATTCTTTCTTCTATCTAAAAAGTGTTAGATCACATAAGAATAATAAATTTCCAGATATTATTATCTTTAGTTATTATATATGTATTAAAAGAGGGTCGCTAAAAAGAGAATAATCAGTAAATACCTGTAAATGCCTACCCCGTATGGAATAAATGTCGTGAGAATATTACTTTTTATTTGATGTGTGGTCGCTCATATAGTCAAATTAGATCCATAAAAATAAAGTGTCTAAAATGAAATATAAATAAATCTGGTTTTATAGCCTTTTATTCAAGTTGAAGGACATCATAAATTTGACTAACTAATGGATGATTTTATTGTATCATCTCATTTATTATAATACAATTAAAATACCGTGCATTCTGGTTTATTGTACTAATTTGCTTGATTTTTTTTACTGAAATACTACCTATAATTACTTTTATTAGTGACAACCTTTATTAAAATGTTCAGTTCAATATATATAAATATTAAAATCAGCATAATTATTATTGTTAAACGTTTCCCTATATAAAAAGTTAATAAGTTAAAAAGGTTATATATTTTTTGTTTATATATAATTTATTTAGTTAATGATTTTACTGTTTAAGTAAAATGGTACAAAAGACGAACATAATGCTAGAAACATTCTCTACCTTTAAGCAGGATCGATAAATCACGAAAATTGTATATATTTTTTTATTTACATCACGGGTGTCACCTAAAATGAGATGATAATCTACGTATAAGTTATATGTAAGTGTAATAGCAAAGAAACTGACAGTCCAACTGATTAAAAGTGGCAACCGTCGCCTTATGTATAAACAGCAATCTGTTAGTGCTTCTGGTACGATGCGATTACCCTGTAATTTCACTGGCTTCATTTACTTAGGTTATTGTAAATTATGTGGAAAATAAATCACAAATTCCACATGTAAACATCTGCACAAATAAATCTACTTATATGTAAATCATCTTATTATACCTACTGGCAACATTGTAGACCTATCAAAGTATTCTGTGGTAATAACACACACTCACTTCTCAAACCACATGCCAATATGTAATTTAATACCTTATACATGAACCAAAAATACTTGACCTATGTACATTACTGATATCAGAGAAATATACGACACCCTCGGGTCGTATTAGACAGGTTAATTAAAATACGCCCAGACAGTTTTGAACTATTGTTACAGCAATACTCATAACAAACAGGGTTTTATTAATAATGGACAACAAAATTGCAATAACAATGTAAGATTGTCAATGTAAGCAGTTCATAGGGATGTTTTGTAATATTATCATTGCAATGTTGAATTATGCGGCTGATGGAATCAACAGACCGTTAGTCGTTAATTAATCTGATGATTAATCGTTCGTTTAATGTTTTATCGGCTGTATGCGATTTGTTCGATATGAGTTATGACTACGAGTATTTATGAGTTGTGTATTTTTAGAGCGAGAGAATTGTGAGTTTTTAGAGCTTCTTGTGTGTTCGTCTCGTACATTTAATGTGCTCATTAAATTAGTCTGTACAAACAACTGTCAATTAGTAGATGTATAAGTACCCACATAGTAAATACCGTTAATAACATTTTTCGTATAAATTAACGATTTACTTATCTTCCTTTGCACCTAATGTAAATACTAATCACTTTTCTATTTACTATTTAACCGAGATTTAACTAAATGCAAAACATTGAACTTAAAATAACTGGTTTTATTTGGTGTTGTACTAGTTTATTAGAACTTAAACAGACTACATTATCAGACAGCATGTTTATAAATTTTCTTACTATTTGTCTCCGTTTCAAATCCATATTAATATTTGTTCCTAACTACTTTTAGGTAAATTTGGAAATTTCTAAGGATTTAAGCACGTAATACTCTAGAACTGTTTTGCTTTAGCGGGTATCTATGGGTACCTTGACAACTAGGCTAAATACGATTAGGTACTTATCAATACAATATGAAGCTTGTCTTCTACTGGGTAGACACTCCATTTTGTTTTATATATCTCTGTCGATATTCTCCCTTCATCCCATCAACACCAAATGTCAAACGCAACCTATGTTTGTCACTACATCGTTCTTTCATGAACAAACGTCACATGTACTAAGTATTCATCATTAAAAAAGTGTTCAAGGTTATAATTATTTCGCAATACTTCATGACAGTACAATCCTTTTACAGTTCATATTTTTTGCTTGACATAGCATATTTGGAAAACGTTAATACATTTTTCCGCAGGTCATAAAAGTAAAATACCCATTAACTACACCTATAATTGTAGCAAAACCATTAAGTACAACCGTCAATTCGTCTGCATTGAACTCCAAAAACGGGTTTATAAAAAGTAATTAATTAAAAGGTCGTTCATTACCGCGTCAATTAACACGAGCATCGATGGTGGGGGTACGTGGAAATTCGCATTAAAATGGTGGTGACGAAGGGAAGGGAGCGCATCTGCTCACAACGCATTCTTGTGGCTTCCAGCGGGGACGAGTCGCACCGAATAGTTAGGCTTAGTTTACACAATATAAGAAGGTTTATTATCTAAACTAAACTATAGAAAATTAGGATAGGTAAATCTTGCTACATGCATAATATCATATACCTGTAGATTTATGAATATTTGTCTCTTAATCGAGTTTAAACGATTCTACAAATTTTAATAAAATAAACAATACCTGGTAGGACATTGTCCTGAATTAACATTTTTCAAATAATTCCTAATCGATGTTACAGCTATCGTTAATATAATAAGCGACTGATCTAGAGAAGTTATCTTATAACCTTATTATTTCACTATTATTAGTGTCTAAAAATTTCAGAGTTCCAATCTATATCACTCGACTATCATCGCCCGGTAAATTTCCAATTATACTATGGAATGCTCAGATAGTAAATTATTCAGCCATCCTTCGGATACCATAAATAGGCGATGTCCTTAATGAGATATGTCCATAATAAAATATTGGATTCGTGAGTAAAATCAGACTTTTAGACATGAGTTTTAGATATGACAATAATATATCATATACTGAGTTAACTAAGGTTTAATATATTAACGCAAATATGTGACATCGGGCGCTAGTAACTGACACAGTTCGTCTTACACTGGATACAGCTAACGACATGCGTAGCGATGGAGGCGACCGAGTAGGCCATATCTGCACTTATGGCGATATACTAGTACTGGATTCAATACGCGACGCCATTTTCAAGCGACTAAAAAAAGGATGGTTCTCAATTTGAATGCTATTTCGTAAGTTGCATGGATTGACACGACGATTGCAATGCAGAGAGCTGGTAGTGACATCGAACAGAGAATCAGAAAAATTCACGGATGCCGCAAGTATAGGTAATGTAATTGTTCTTGTTCAAAACGGTTTGTCGGATTTTTATGAAAATTTTTTGTGTATAGTTGATAAGTCTGAGAATAATATAATAAAGTCGTAGGTTAATTTTATTCCCGTAATGCAGAAATAATTTATATGGCAAAATAACGTTTTCCGGATCATATAGTATGTACATAAATATGCTAGAAATATCCTTTGGCATGCGCCAGGGGGTAATATTAGTACATACGTACTTATACGTATGTTGTGTTACCGTAGTAAATAGCTTCACAATAGTTATAAGATCTATGATAATTATTAGCAGAAACATTGTAAAACATTGCAAAATATTAATTTTCATAAAACGGAAATGTCAGCAACTATTAATAAAGTAGAATAACAAATTTACACTTAACGTTCACACGACAGAGTTCAATTTGGAACAAACAATAAAGCAAACAACCTAAACAGATTTGTTGTCCTAACAACCATTTAAACACATCGCTCTTAATCAAAGCTTTACTGTCGGTAATTAGTTAAGCAACTTGTGAATTACTTGTCCTCATATTCGAGAGAAGATATTAGATTTTACACTTTATTTATATAGCTTAGAATTCAATATGCAATGAATTGCAATTGATTGAAAGTACTTAAAATCTGGTGAAAATTATCATTGTTAAAAGTTCTTTAGTTCTTTAGCTACAAAGTTGAAATTGGAATATAGTCAATACCTACAACATAACTCCCAATTGTTTATAAAGGCAAAGTTATATAGAGAGAGGTAAAATTTTAACAGCGACGTGCTAAAATTTTAATATATTACTTTCCATCATATCTGTCTATTGGTGTTAATTGTATAATAT